CTTTCTTGAGTCTTATTTATTCTTTCCATCCATTCCCTAATCTCTGTTGTATTCTGGGATCAGTCATTGGTTACTTCCATTGTTTGGGCTCTGAGGTCTGATTTTTCAGGCATTTTCTCTTTGTTGCACTGGGAGTTACTTGTGTTCTTCCGCCGACTTATTTTCTCATTTGTGAACAATCTCTTTCTTTCTCTTTAGTTCCATTATTCAGTGGCAGTGAAAGAAACTTTCACTTCTCATGTCTGCTCAGCCCTCTATTCTTTCATGGGCAGGGCTCTGAATCTGTTCTATTTTGAAACAAGACTATAGGTGGGAAGCTTTGCTCGCTCTTGTAGTCTTGAGAGTTGAATAAGGTGGAGGATAGGGAAATAGGATTCAGAAACTGCTTGCAAATCTCAATGTTCACTAATTGTGGTATGGGTTCACTGAAACCCACTCTCCACCACCACTCTATGTGAGAATGCATGCATACATATATGTACACCCTGAGTCCAAAGTACAGTAACAGCAAAGAGGAGGACAGAGAAAACAGAATGAAATAAGATGGATAAAAATAAAAACATAAAAAGTCAGAAAAACCAAAAGCAGAAATAAAAGCAAAAAATATTTAAACAAGCACACACACAAATAAAAATAAATTTAGGGAAAAAGGAAAACAAGTAAACAAACAAACAACAAAAATGAAAATTGAACACATACACCCACACACACACAACAAAAAAGAGAGGAGAAGAAAAAAGTGAAGAGGAAAAAAAAGAATTAAAATTGAAACCTCTTTTAAATATTCACACATACATTAACTAAAAAAAAAAAAGAGAAGATAAAATAAAAAACAATGAAACAAAAAACCTGAGAGATGAACACTCAATTACTCAAGTACACACATCAGCAGAAAACAAAATATGAACAAAGAAAGAAAAACTAGAAAAGAAGAAAGAAAAAATTAAAAAGTGGGAATGCAGATAGAACTTTCACATTCACGCACAAAGAAAAAAAATATACATATATATGTATATATATAACAGAAAACAAACAGAAAAAAAAAAATCCTGCCTCTTGTGGCAGGTTCTGTAATCATTCCTCTTTGCTGTCCAGGTGATCCCCTCTGTTCTCTCCTGTGGAGTTGTGGCCCTATTCACAATCTCTCCAGTGTCAGACCAAGGAAGGAAGAAGAGAAGAAGTGAATGGATTGGGCTTCAGTCCTCCCCTCCCACTCTTGTATGGTCAAGGGGATCCCTTCTGGTGGGGAGGTGTGGTGTTGTCCCTTCTCCAGGTGCTGGGGGTGGAGGCCCTAGCCAGGCTTATCCTGGAGTAGAGTCCTCCATTCACATGATATCCGGGTTCCACCTGGGTTCTTCTTCTCAGTCTTGTCCCAGCTATGTGGGTCTGAGATTCAGAGGATTGCTTGTGGGGAAAATTTGGGTCAGCCTCAGACTCACTGCTGATTTCTTCTGAGGTCTTCCTTGTCCTTTGCTGGTCAAATCCTTTGTCCTACAGCTGATTCGGGGTAGGGGGTGGGACGCCTGAGACTCAGCACTTGCCCTGTCCCTCCGGAGTTTTTGTTTTCAGGATATTCCCTCTGAGTCACCATCAACCCCTGTGTAGTTAATCCACCATCATAGAGATTGTGTCTGTCGCTCCATGATGAGAAAACTGGGGCACTTTTCTGCCCAGTTTTCAAGATGGTGGCAGTGTGCCTCTTTCGTCGTCTTTAGGGGGGCTCTGCCTCTGGCTTCTTCACTGTGCTCCCTCTGCAACCCTTGCTGCCAAAGTTCAGCCAAGGTGCTGTGGTGGTGAGGCAGATCCTGGAGCCAGCAGTCACTCCTGGCAGCCTCCTCCCAGGAAGGACGTTTGCTGATTTTTTAAAAAATGGTGCACGGCTTCTGGGCCCCAGGGAGTGAAGGGTCCAAGCAGAGCAACTGTGTCACCCACTTCTTCGCCGGCAAAGCCCTGGCCACTTGCTCCCAAATGCCCACTCAGACAGCCACTCACATGCCCACTTACTTACAGACACATAAGCAAAATTTTCCATAAACTCACTCACTCACACTGGGACTCGCATAGTCAGACTGGCTCTGCTGCCATCTTTCCAGAAGTCTAAATCGACATACAGATTTAAAAGGAAAAACAAACCTCTGTTTATTTACAGATGACATGATCTCATATGTAGAAAATCTTAAGAAAGCCAAAGAAGGGCTACCAGCGTTAGTAACTAAGTTTATATAGTGTGCAGACTCTAAGATGATTAAAAAAAAATTTGCAGTTCCACTTATTAATAATAAAATTTCAAAAGTGAAATTAATAAGTTAATTCCATTTATAAATCTATCAAGAAAAATGTTTAGTTATGAATTTACCAAGTTAAATGCAAGACTTTAACTTAAAACTACAACACATTGCTGAGGGAAATGAAAGAATATCCAAAGAAATGAAGAGGCACTGGATATTCATTTATAGGAATTCAGTATTGTTAAGATGGCAATTATTCTCAATTTTATCTGTTGCTTTAATGACATTAATATCAATATTCAGGAAAATTTTTTGTAGAAATTGACAAGCTCATAGAAATACTTATATGGAACTGCCAAAAAAAGAAAAAAGACAACTTTGTAGAGTAGTCAAAATGATTTTTTGGGGGAAGGGAAAATTTGGAGAACTACTCAATTTTAAAACTTACTATCTGGCTATTGGAATGCTGCATAAATACGTAGAGTTTTTTGGTTGCCCATGGAATGTAAATATCACATGATGGTTGACTGGTTCATCACATTTGCCAATTCTCAGTTTGACTGATGTGGATCACTGTGGCTTAAAGCATTTAAATGGTCGTCATCAAAGTCTGATGGTCTTTCTTAATGCGGAGAATCATTCAGGTCCAAGTGGCCCTCTTTGAAAAGCCAAAATCATTTATTTCTTGCTATGCTTTTCCTGATGGCATTCTCCTATACAGGGCACAAAAGTTTCAAACCACCTCTATTGCCTCTCCTCCTCTGTAAAACTCAAATAGTAGGATACGTTGGAAATGTTTTTTGTTCCTCTTGATAGTCTATATTCTTTAACCCAACAATAACACTAACTTTCTTCAAATCTGCAAAATGTATGGTTTAGTCACAAACACAGCATTGCCACTCCAAATGGCAAATGACAAATGATAAACAAACTCCCAATATTGCAGTGTTGCCATGCCAGAAGCAAACACTAGGAACTTATGCATCAACCTAACATATATATACATTTATAACTTTATGTTTTTATCTGGACAGTGTGTTATTGAATATAGAAAGTTATATGGTTTATGGTCAGTCAGTTTTAACAATAGTGAAAACAGCAATTAAATGAGAAAAGGACAGTCTAAAGATAAAAGGGGTAGAGCAGTTTTATATGTGTGCAAAATATAATATAACCTAAATAATTATCCCACACTATACGGAGAAGTGAACACATATGAATTAGAGACTTAAATTTAAGCACTAAATTTATAAAACTAATAAAACATATAAGAGTAGCTTCATTACCTTAAGTTAGACAAATATTTAATAGATGTGACATCATAAACATAACATGTAAAAGAAAAAAATGACTTAAAATAGGACAAATTGATAATTTAAATTTCATTAAATTAAAACCTTTGTTATTCAAAAGTCACCAAGTAAGAAAATGAAAAGAAAGGCAAGACAAGGAGAAATTATTTTCAAGTTAGCAGTACCATAAAGGACTTCTAACCAGAATATACAAAGAACCCACTCAAAAAAACCCAAACCTAAGAAAACAGACAATATAATTTAAAAATAGTTAAAAATTCTAAATAGACATTCCATTTAATAAGGCACACAACTGATTTATACACATGTGAGAAAATGTCCAAAATTACACTGGTTATTTGAAAATGAAAATTGAATCTACAATGAGATTTTATTTTACGTCTACCACAATGTCTATAATAAAGAAAATAGACAATATAAAATGTTAGCAAGAATGTGGAGAATCAGAAATCTCATACATTCCTGGTAAGAAGGTAAAATCGTATGGCTACTTTGGAAAATAGAGTTGAATAATGATCTATCTCAGAAGAAAAGAAGTGAATACCACATATTCTTACTCATAAGTGGGACCTGAACATTAATCACATTAGCACAAGGGAGGGGATTGGCAGTCAAGGGATACTACCAGGGGAGGAAAGGGTGGTGTCACATAACAACACAAAGGGTACCTGGTCCTAAACCAGGGAAGTGAGGACTAGCTGGAGGTCCAACTTCAACTGCATGTAGGCTACTTACGTACCCGTACCCTACATCTCTATAATAAAGTTATTTTAAAAAAACCCATAAATTTACCATAAAATTCAACAATTTTACTCCTAGGCATTTGTTCAAGGACATGAAAAAAACGTATATCCACTCAAATACTTTGTGTTATTTTTTTATTATAAGAGCCAAAAGGTGAAAAAAAAGTCCACCAATTGAAAAAAGATAGATAAAATACTGTATATATTCTGAATTGCTATTCTTTAGCAATATAAAGTTCCAAGTACAGATACATGATGCAACCTGAAAAATCCTCAACAAAGTTATGCTAAACAAGAGAAGCCAATCACACAAGACCACATACTGTACCATCCCATTCATATGCAATACCCAGAAAAGATAAATCTGTAAAGTCAGAAAGATTAATGTTTGCCTGGGACTGGCCTTGGGAACAAAGATTAACTACAAAAGAATTCTTCTTTAAGTAATAGAATTGTGCTAAAAGTGAATAGATGCTTGAATAGCTCCATACATTAGCAAAAGTTATTGAATTATAGATTTTCAGTGAGTGAATTTTATCACATATAACTTACACTGTAATAAATATGTTAAAGAAAAAGATTTCATAACTCTAGATTTTTTTCCATAATGAGTTTTGCTACATATGTGTTCATTTCTTTCTTCCTTCCTTCGTTTTTCCTTCCTTCTTTTCCATTCTTTTCCCTTTTTAAGAAAATGTATTTTGTTATCTTTTAAGGCCCATTTTGTGAGGAGTCAACGAAATGCGTTTTTCAGTCTTGTTGGAAAGGAAGAATTTGCCAAAATAGCAGCTCTGTATATTCCTGTGAATACTCAGAAGGATTTTTCAGTCAAAATTGTGAACCTAATGTCAATGAATGTTCATCAGGACTATGTCCGAATGGCACTGACTGCTTCAAAACACCAAATGTAAGTCTGAATTTAACATATGAGTGATTTTAAATTGACTTTTACTAATACGAAGTAATTTGAAAAGTAAACATAATTTAAGTTCTTATTAAAATAACATAATTTTCAAATCAAAGAATAATTAGAAAATTTGCCTCATTTATTTTGATTTTTCCTATTTATATGTAAACCTCAGTTTTTAAAACATTGTTTGATTCCATTTTTTGCCAGTACTATCTTGTGAAAACCATATAGCATTGCATACCTTTCTGTTTTAGTTATTGCTTTTTAAATTTTTTATACCTGTTAATTATTTTATATTGTTATACTTTTACTTTTAAATTTAAACCAAAAGTCTAGGAAATAATCTATTAACTGGTTCCACAGACCAGTATTTTTTCACTTTAGTAAGGTTTATATTTGTCACTAACTTTGTAAATAACTTTAAGAGTTTATTTTATTTTTCCAACTTCATGAACTTTTTGTTACTAACACTTTAAAAATAAACATTTTTTTGTAAGGAGTGTCCATTATATTAACAAAACTTTTGGTAAATAATTACTAGGAAGGATTAATTAAATTATTCAGAACATGTAATATACAGATAGTCTATTTTCTTAATCCATCTGGAATTTCTTCTACAGCATGCAAAGATTTGCAATATACTAGGTCCCAATACTGAGTGATACAAGTCCAAAGAGCAAAAACACATGATTCTAGCAATCATGAAAATTATAGCTGTAGTAAACAGCCTAAGCCTACTATCTTCCCTTTCAAAAATAAATAAGAATAAAAATAAAGATGTCTGTGGCCAAATGCAGGCAATATGTGCATAGGTTTTATTACATACCAAGAGTAAATTAAGATTGTCAAAGGAACCAAGGCTGCTAATCAACTGATGTCTTCCTGGATTATCTGGACAGGCCTAACATAATCACAGGGGTTCTTTAAAAGGAAGAAAGAGGCAGAAGAGTCAGAGTCACAGGGAGATTTGATGATACTGTGATGCTGGTTTTGAAGATGGAGGAAAGGGCCAAAGAATGAAAACAGTCTGTAGAAGCCAAAAAAGTGAAGGAAACATTCTCCTCCTAAAGACTCCAGAAGGAACATAATTGATCCCTTGCTTTTAGTTGAGACTCTTCAGACTTTAACCTCTGGAATTGTAGAATAATGCACTTTATTTGTTGCTTTAAGTCACTACATTTGTAATCATTTGCTACCTAAATTATAAAATGTTATATACATAGAAAGCTAATACCATAGTCTATCAAGAATTTATAATAGGATTATTTGAGTTTTGGGTTTTTATATCTGAGGATAATGAACAATTAAACATTCTCTCTTTTTAATAGTTATAAGTATCTTAATAGATGTTTGCTTAGCTATTAATTCCTAAAGGTAACCTAACTGTATTTTACTTATTTCTATACTAGTCATTATTACATTTGAAAGAACAGTTTTGTAGATAAGTGATTTGGGAAATCATACATTAATCACTTGTAACATCACTATGTATGACCTTGAGCAAACTCTATACCTCTTTCATCTTTATTTTTGTCTTAGCTGAGTTTATTTGACTGGATTCTAGGAGGAAAACAAAATCATCCATTTAAAGTACAGAACTTTTTACCTTACAATCTCTTTTTTTTTTTTTTTTTTTGAGTTGGAGTCTCACTCTGTCACCCAGACTGGAGTGCAGTGGCCGCTTCCGGTCACCGCAGCCTCGACCTGCTGGGCGTCGGCGATCCTTCCGCTTCAGCCTTCCGAGTAGCTGGAACTACAGGCGCACACTACCACGCCCAGCTAATTTTTGATTTTATTGTAGAGATGAGGTCTCACCAAGTTGTCCAGGCGGGTCTCGAACCCGTGGGTTCAGGCAATCCACTCACCTCAGCCTCCCAAAGTGCTGGGATTACAGGCTGAGCCACCGAGCCCAGCTTACAAGCTCTTAATAAATCTTGTTAGGATGAGAAATATGGTGAAGATGTTAATAATGATGATATGGTGATGATAATGATAAGAAAGAACAAGGAGAGAAAGAGCCAATAAGGACAGGAAAAGGAAGAAATACGATGACCAAAGTATATTTCTATTGCCAGTGAAATTAATTTATGAGTCTATCACATTTAATTTCATTTTATTTTTACCTACCTGAAGATGTATGAACTTATTGCTTATTACAATCTTTTATTTTCTATACACGATTACCCTCAAAATTTGGTGGCTTAAAACAACTATATAATTATTGTCTCATAGTTCTGTAAGTTGGATTGTCTCAGCTAAGAGATACTTCGAATTCTTCATGAAGTTGTGGTCAAAAAGTGTCTGGAGTCAGAGTTTATTTGAAGGTTTTCTTATTCATGTGTTTGGTGGTTAATTCACATATTGGCTGGCAGCTGGACCCTCAGCTGGGTTGTCAGCCACAATCCTAAACATGTCTTCTCCATGTGGTCTGGGCTTCCTAAGAACTTGGTGGCTGGGTTCCAAGAAGAAGCATCCCAAGATCATTAAGCAGATGCTGTATGGTCTTTTAACTCTTGCCTTGGAAGCCACAGAGCATTACTTTCTTGATAGTCACAACCTTGCTTACATTCTAAAGTGAGAGTATATAATCCTTAACTCTTTATTAGAGGAGTCTTGATTTCACATAGCAGGAAGAGTGTGTGAGATGGGAGATAATATCGTGACATTTTGGAAAACAGGATATTCCCCATTGCTGACAGAAAACCTCTTTTACATTTTCATGAAAGTAATTTTCATTCTTGTCCAAGAGAAAACTCATTGATTAACTCTGAAATATCTGTAACATCTGAAAAAAATAATTTTTAATCTTTCCTAGGACGTTATGTGCATCTGTTCACTAGTATTTGCAGACAAGCTCTGTAAGAGAATTCAAACATCACGTGAGACATTTCCATGGAAGAAGAATACTACATGCATGAAATATGAGAAAGATTATCATTACAGGTATAATACATTTTCTAAGTTTACTTTTAACAAAAAATACATGGATTTTGAAGTCATGTGGACAAAAATAATGTTCAGTTTTTAAGTTTAACCTTTATTTACTAATATATAAAATCTATTTCAAGTTAAAATAGAATCCTTTTGCATGTTTTGGGTTATTTGTAGTATTAGTTTAAAATAAATATTTGAGAAATCCTTAAACATAATTTGGCATACAATTATAAAATAAATATTTTATTTTCTGTATTTGTTTTAAAATAATTGAGTAACATTTGAAGGTCTATAAAAAAATGAGAATTGTAAGCCCCCATAGTATTATTTCAATTGCACACACATAATGCTAAAATATTTGGAAAGAAAAGGATAACTATCACTTCCTGTAATTTACATCCCTCAGCTGATAGATTTTAGTTTGGGTCTCTTGGCAGACTTTTAGGAAATCATGCTTCCTTTAAATAAGAGTTTGCAAAAGTTATTCATTTATAAATGACAGAGGTGACTCAAATATCTGGGCCTATAATTTTAGTTCATTTTAAATAGACTTATAGATATTTTCTCACACCATTAAGAAATACAATTTGTACTTTTCACACTTGCTTGACTTTTATCTGGCTGCTTAAAGTAAGTTCTGTTGGGTATTATTGAAGAGCAATAAGCAGCCTCAAAATTTTATAATATTCACAAAAGCAGAAAATTAAAGCTGAGGTCCAGCACAGCCTTAAATATACTGAAAAAAACCCTAGAATATGCATACATATCACAGGTGTACAATACACAGTATTTTCATGAATTTTAAAGGACTCTAAATACAAATTTTCTAAAAAATGAAGATTTGGCATGTGAATTTCACTTAAAAATATATAAGATAAACTTTATCATCATATCTAGATCTTGGAGAATGTAACTCATCCACATGTTTACATACATTCAGTCCAAATGTTAGCTTTTTAAAATACTGATTTTTTAATTTATAGTTTTTAATTCTATGCCTTAAAATACTAGCATATTTGTGAATTTACTTAGAAAAGTGATTAACTTTTAAAAATTTGGATTGCATTATATAAATATAGGTAAATATATATTCATAAATAATTTTGAATTTTTAACTTTTTTATTGTGTTTTATTCTATCTGTGTCTCCAGAAAATTTTAGTATGCTGCACATAGAATATCATCCAATTTATTTAATTTACTATTTTTTGTGTTTATCATAAATATTTTGGATCTTACTGATTGAAATGGAAAATCTTGATGGAGACTTGAGATTGACATAAAATGACTAATTTATTAATTGATTTAATGAATTAAATTAGGTGAAATTATTCTACAATAGTAGAAAAAAGCAAATAAAAAGAGACAAAAGCTTTTTTCCATAAGAAATTTTCATTCTAGTAGGCAAATACTATTATTTATTGAATAGCCTGCTGGTGTGTGATCGCAAGAGAAGAAATAGGAAGACTGCCTAGGAGGCTACTACGACCATGCGACCTGGAGAAGGTGGTGACTGACACTGCCAATAACATGATTTGTGATTATAATAATTAAGGCTCCGATAAGGAATATATTTCTGAGGATAATTCAGTGTTTTGCTGAAGTACTGAATGTGAGATGAGAAATAAAACGAAGTCAAGAGTAACTCTCAAGTTGCTTGCTCAGTTGAAAGATTAGAAAATGAAAGGTTTTCCAAAGCAGGGGAGGGGAGACACACCTCACCAACAAGGGAACCTGCATAATAAACATCTGTATACTTAATCCTGAATTGTACCCCCCATCTTTAAAATTAAATTTTTTTTTAAACTTCCTAAAATGGGGAAATCTATAGGAAAAAAAGCATGGTTGGCAGGGATAGGAAACAAGAAGTCAGTTTTGGGCATGTCATGTGAGATACCTAATAGAGCCAAGTGGAGATATTAAGACAGACATTCAAGTATTTTTCTATGTTAGAGGAGACATCAGGGCTATCTCTACATATCTGGAAGCCAATGACACAGAGCATTTAAAACCAGGAAACTCAGTGAAATTACCTCAGATTGAGTCTAGATAGGAAAGTGAGAGGTTTTTAGACTCAGCCTTAGGACACTTTATATTTAAGGGAGTTTGGGATTTGAATATGATACTAAAAAGTATGAGTCAGCCAGGCACGATGGCTCACACCTGTAATCCCAGCACTTTTTTGGGAGGCCAAGGCAGAAGGACTGCTTGAGCTCGGCGCAGGAGCTCGAGACCAGCCTAGGCAACATACCAAGACTTTGTACAAAAAAATTTTTAAAAATTAGCCATGTCCGGTTGTGCACACCTGTAGTTGCAGCCATTCAGTAGGCTGAAGCAGAAGAATCACCTGATCCCAGGGGGTTGAGGCTACAGTGAGCTGTGATCATGTCACTGCACTTCAGCCTAAGGTGACAGAGTAACACCCCGACTCAAAAAAAAAAAAAAAAAATGAGTCAGTGAGTTAAGAAGAGAAAAATACAGAGGATCAACAGAAACTATAAAATACTTAAAAAATATTAACTATTTAATTTAAATGTGTAGTTGCACATATGCATACATGAAGTAACCTAGGTATTGAATTCAACTAGAATTGGATCTTGACCAGGCTATGACAACGGAGGGAAAAGAACAAATGATTTAAGGGTATATACAAGAAGTGATTACAGAAACGAAGCATGTAATCTAATTCAGGAAGTGAGGTTATGATGAGGATGAGAGATATTGAAGGGCTGGATTGTGAGATTGAAGAATTATTGGAAGAAAAAAAGAATTAGAAGCGATAAGGTAGAAGGAGAAATGAGGCTGTGAGTAGAATATGAGAAACTTGAAATTAAGATTATGTTAATTAAGATTATGAAGAGACTATACTTATATATGATGGTAGTATACAGCATACCAGAATGAATGTAGGGTTTCTTGTTTTTTTTGTTTATTTGAGTCAGAGTCTCTATCGTTCCAGCTGGGATGCAGTGGGCACGCTCCCAGCTACCTCAGCCTCTATCTGACGTGCTCAGGCAATCATTCCACCTCAGCCTTCCAAGTAGCTAGAACTAAAGGCGTGCACCATCATGCCTGGTTAATTTTTTTTTTAATTGTAGAGAATGGTCTCACCATTTTGCCCAGGCTGGTCTCGGTCCTCTAGGCTCAGGCAATCCTCTCGCCTCCGTCTCACAAAGCGCTAGGATTACAAGTGTGAGCCACCATGCCCAGCTGAAAGTAGGTTTTACCGTTAGGGTGAAGATTCAGATATTTGAGTTGAGACAGTATTCTCTTCTGAAAAGCTAGTTATAAACACATTAACTCTGCATATATGGAAATAAGACAGACACTGAGGTTGCCTCCATGACTTGGCTATTGTGTTAAAGAAAACATGATGTGTGTATGAGATATTATTTAGACATTTTAAAAAAAAAAAGAAATGCTGCCATTTGTGTCAACATGAATAAACCTTGAGGGCATTATGCTTAGTGAAGTCACTCAGATAAAGAAAAATACCATGTGATCTCACTTACATGTAGAATCTATAAACATCAAACTCATAGAAATAGAGTAGAATAGTGCTTTACAAGGAGTTAGGGGTGGAGGAGATGCGAGACACTCAAAGGAAGAAGCTGCTTTCAGTTATAAAATGAATAAACTCTGAGGATATAAGGTACAACACGGTGACTATGGCTAATAATGCTGTATTGTATACATGACACTTGCTAAGAGAATATTTCTTAACTGTGCCTGCCAGACATATACAAGTGATAACTACGTGAGGTGCCAGGTGTGTTAACTAACTTGATTGTGGTCATCAATTCACAGTATATATAAATCATCATCACATTGTACACTTTAAATTTATATAATGTTATTTGTGAATTATGCCTCAATAAAGGTGGAGAAAATAACAGAGTAAGACCGGGAGTGTATTCAAGAAAGATCCAATAAGTCAGATTTTAATGTTAAAGAATTAGAAATAGAGAAAATGCCCAGGAGCATTAGCTATGGCTTTAACAAGGAGGAGATAGGTGTAGCATGGTTTGATGGCATCATCTAATTTGAAAGATTTTTAAAAGGAAGAGACTAGGACAATGTTCTTTTTCCATGATGAGGAAAAAACGAGGATATCTACACAGCACCCAGACACTGTATTGCAAAGATTGGAGCAGACACCATAGTCACCACTTGAGAGATTACCGTCAAAGGAAAGAGATTCCTAAGAGGTGCTTTGGGAGAAAGATCCACATAGTAAGGTATCAACTGGAAACCCCTGGCTTCTAGGGATGTCCCAGGTAAATAGTGAAAAGGGATTGATTTTGAAGGCCTCAAATGTAGATCTTAGAAGGAAGACTGAGTGTTGGGATGAAGTTAGTAATGTAGGGTATTATCTGGAGCTCACAGAGCTTGATAGAGAGCCTTTGGAAATTTCTCCAAAGGTTGCAGGACTTTTTGTGTCTACTTCATTTACAGGTTACAGTGTCCACAGCACTGTGGTACATAGCTCCAGGGAAGCTTTCCTGGGACTCTGATTATTGCCTCTTGAATGGAGGTGCAGCAGTAGTGGAGGGAAGGGTATTGTGATCTGATATACAGGGTTGTGAATTCACTTTATACTACCATGGTAAGTGTTTGTACTATAAGACCACATACTGGCTTTGAAGACTATTAAGAACCTCACTACTGATACTGGCATTTTACACACATACAGACTTGATTTAATATTTGCTAAATGGAATCAAAACAGTATTTACTCTTTCTCACCAATCCAGTCTAAAGAAATATCCTATTGATTTCATCTTAAAAATATATTCATAATCCAACTACCTCTTACCATGTCCTCTCTCCAATTCTAGACTAAGCCGCTCTCATACATAGATTACTCTGCTATCATTTTTTCAATAACTTCTTAGCAGGTCTCTTTGCATGTGTTCATGCTCTCTACAGTTTCTTTTCAACATGACAGTCAAACTACAATTGAAAAACATAAGCCAAATCATGCAACTCATTGACTAGAAACACTGAAAT